ACTAAGAGCGTGTGTGAGTTTTATTTTAAGAAACATAAATCGGAAATAGAATACATATGTTAGTCTAAAATTACTAAGCTTCAAAATATTCATAAAAGGAAGTAGGATGCCAACACTGGGGGAAATGAAGAGCCTGTGAAATGTGTGATTCTTCCCAGTTTGTGAATCATTCACAGATTATTTTTAAACAAAGCAAGTGGAGCCATAAACTGGGAAGATACCCATTCCCCAAGTATTTAGGATGAGTGTTCAGCAGCCAGCATCCCAGAGGGAGTGTTGGTGTATATATCTGGTCATGGGACATGCTCTCTGTTCCTCAACGGATGCTGTAATGGGAGTGAGGAAAGGTAAAGAAACAGTCATAAATTTTGCCATCAGGCTTTAGTGGATCAGATGAGGACCCTTTAAAGGGTTGAGTCACTTGTGACCTTTTTGGTCACACCTCCTTTGAGCATCTATCATTCATCCTGCTCAGATCTCATTAAATTATCCAAGTCAGAAAAATTACCACAGATAGAAAAATAACTTCTCGTGCTGGATTTCACAAGATTAGCACACTGCTGGCTAGAGATGAAAAATAGGTACAATCTCACTCACATCCTAGGAAAACTTTTTTTGTCAGTAAAGTTCGTGGAACATTTTGACTAATGAGGTAGTTACATGGCAAGTCGTTCAATAGCTTTAAGGAAAGGTCAGAGGCACACAATGAACTAAGCAACACAGGGTCCTCTCCTCAATGTAAGGGGCTGGATCCAAGTAGTGCCTTGATCCTTTCAATCTTGTCATCCATAATTTATCATTAAAAAAGCTACCTCCCAAAGAGCTGGGAGATCAGGAGTCCGGTTTTGTGTGCAAGAGGAGCTGCTGAGACTGAGCTGTTATTGTTCTGTAATTGTCAAAGAAGCCTCTGTGTGCCTGTAGATATTTATAATCTGGTGTATTTTAGAGTAAGTGTGTTATCTCACAGAGAACAGCATGTTTGATGTAATTCTAGTGGGATATATGAAACCATGTGTTCTATGTGAATGGTGGAGCCACCAGGGGAAGTGTGTGACAAGCTGAGGTTGCTGCATTCAGCCTGCTCAGGAAAACACTAGAGAAAATAACCTGACTATCATTGTGATCAGATCTCTCCTTGCTGCCAAATTAAATAAATAGAAATGAGAACATTACATAAAGCTTTCTGGGTGCCGTGAATTGTGAGAGCATTATGTTTGTGCACATGCTAATAAGTGTTTCCAGTAGCAAAATCAAGGGAGTTTAGTGCCAGCTGCCCCATATAAAGTTTATTTGGTCAGGCTCACATAACACATTGAGCTATCAAAACGGCACAAAAAGATCCTTTTGAGATCATTTTCCAATAACACCAGGCTTGCTTTGGTGTTGCACACCCGATAGCACCATCTCACTAGGTACAGAATATCACACAGTGCACAGAAGAAAACTGTCTGCCTGCTTACAACACAATCCAAGGAATTGTCTAACTATAAACCTTATAAAAAGGAATCTTTCTTTCTTCCGCACTCCTTCCTCTGTATCCTTTGCTTTTTCATACCACATTATTTTGCTGAGGATCTTGTTTTGAAAGCCACGTTTATATTTTCTCCAAATAAATACATGTAAGATCATGCTGTGTTGCTGGAAACATGATAATTAGCTTTGCTGCAATATGAGAGCCTGAGGTGATGCACTGATAGAGTAGGCATACACAACACCTCCCTGAGCATTTTTCAGCAATCAGATGAGGAAATTATGAGACTTACAATTGGAACAACTATGGAAATAAAATACTTCTTCATAGCTTTCTCATTACATTTTGATCTCTGTATTTTATTACTGCTGAAATTAGTTGCTCATTGACGCTGCATTTGGAGATTCCTTAAAATGTTTCTGTTTCAATTAAAGCACATTAAACGCTTTCAGATAAAGTGAAATAGACATGGCAGTGAGCAACAGTTGACTGCTCATTGGATATTTGAGCTGAATGTCGAAGAAACAGACCTCAATTGGTATCAGTTTTCTTGCAAGTCAACAGAAAGGGCCAAAGACAAAGACAGCACTGAATTGAACAGTATGGTTCATACAAGGTGGAAGCTAAAAAAAAAAAAAGTACAGTGACGTTTAGGGGTATTTCTCCATTTAGCTTTGGAAAAGAAGTATCGTCTCTACCATAGGTTGTCAGAATATGCAGATCTAGTTTATTAAAATACACTGACGAGTGATGGGAGGTCCTGTTAGAGCCATGATGAGATATAATTTAACATGGTATCCATCATAGATTGACAAAAGCCTTTTCAATAGGGAGACAGATGTGGGTCAGCTTCTGGCTAACTAAATCAGTGGCATCACACTAGAGATCAGAGCAGTGAATTGCATTGTCCCAGAAACATGATTTCATTATAACTTCGCAATAATTCTAGGTAGGTAGGTAGGGAAGGAAGTGAAGGAAGGGAAGGAGGGTAAAGAAGGAATGGAAGGAATGGAAGGAAGGGAGGGACAGAGGGAGGGAGGAATGGAGGGAGTATGTATTTCAGACTCTCATAAGCCTGTAATAAAATTCGTAGTGAAAGATCCTGTTCCTACCTTCTTGCAACAGACCATCTACTTTCACCAGACTCTAGTATCTCTAGTCACATCTGGTCATTGGTACACCTTTCAGCATGTGTATCTCCTCCAGAATGTATTTTTCAAAATGTACTTTGATCCTAGAGGACACAGATAAGCCTGAGATTTTTTCTGCATTATTTAATCTTTTACACATACATCTATCCTCTAATTTTCCAGGATCTTTGGGAGTTAGGATGAGAGAAAAGAAAAGAACAAGAAAGAGTATTTTTCAATTTTAAGTTATCTTGTGAAATACAGTATTGTTTGAAATTCTCTTTCCTTCCCCAGTTTTGGTCACAAACACAGGAATGTCAAAGAAATGCAGACCTACCCCAGAGAGACATTCATAGCCTCGACTTATTCTTTTACCCCTGGAGTTGTATTCACAACATTGCTGATGCATGATATCTGGTAACTCTCACCATGTTACATCTCTGGCTGTATTGCATACTGAAGGTTTTTTTCACATCTAAAAGGCTTTGGATTGTTCACAAATCTAGACACTTTCAAAATGATTTACTATCTTCAGTTATGGGCTTTGCTGTATTTTCTGGATCAAGTGACAGCCGATGGGATTTTAAGGGGTGTATGATGAATGGCAATTTGTAACAATTTCCTCTTATTTCTATTAAATTTATTTCCCCAAGTCTTTAAGCTGACAGGTAAGGATATGGCTGCAGCCTATCTCTCAGGCCATCTATGTGTTCCTACAAACAGAAAAAAAAACCATTTTAATGCAGCTCTTTTCAAACCTGAATATTTCTTTCCTTAATACTATCCCATGACTGGTTTGATCCTCAAAAAAAAATTTTCTAACATCTCTACTTGTTAGAGATGCCAAATGTGTAGAAATAAAATGTATTTATTCAGCAGCACTTACCAAGATCAGCAACATAAGTTCCTACTTTTGGCAAGTCAAACAATAACAAGCATTGGGCAAGGTGCTCTCTTCAGTGCTTTGCTTAATTTGCTTGGGATCATGCACATGAATCGTTACTTTCTCATATTTTTCCTTGACATCCTCAGAAAGATTTTTCTGCACTGTGTTGGTTTCTTTCCCTTTGTTGTTGCTTTGCATTTGCACAATACTGCTGTTGGGCTGCCTGTGCTTTCATTATTACTGGTGGTTTATCTCTGAGACTGCTCCCCTTCTGCTCTGTAGTTAGAGATGAACTTTTAATTTGTTTTATCTGCCAACAATTTTTGACAGAGTTAGTGTGGGATGTCAAAGTACTTCTCATTCAAATACTTGCATTTTGTATTTCAGTCTCTAACCTACTATGAATCAGTTTCAAAAAGTATTAAATACATTAGTCAGGTCACCAAAACACTAATTCTTTCATTCTCCATTTCTTGCTTAAGCCCACTAAATAGATGGTTTTCTGGCTACTGGTTGAAAGTGTGTAGCATCTCCCAGCAGAAGCCTCCTCTCCAAAGGGGCAGCTCCAGACACTGGGGTGGCCTGGGGAGGAGAGGGAGACTGGAGGACAGAGCTTCTCCTCCAGACTGGATGGAACAGGAGGACAGGAGGAAAGGACAGCTCCAAAACATCCTTCAGCCCCTGTTCTGTCTGCACATGGTAGGAAAAAAGGAGCAAGAAATCAACATCTTGTATTTCCAGCCACCACCACAGAGGGTGACAGGGATGCTAGTACCCAGCTTCACATGCTGCTGGCTTCTCCCCACCATGAGCTGCACATCTACGTGCTGAACATAGCCCTGCCATCTGCTTAGAGGCAGGGGTGTGACATGTTGCTCAATCATTCTTCAAACATTCTGCTTTGATGAGGTAATTTTTGTTTTCTTGATCACTTTGTTTTTAAATAGGCTTTTGCTGGGGAGGCTGGAAGAGATGAGAAACACAGCCTTATTGATTTTGAATCCTGCAAGACACCACTCACTAGCATAGCCAGTTTGAGGAAGAAGGAATCAGGACAGGACAATATCCCACCTTCCTAGCCCTTTTCCATTTTTCCCACCAAATTCTGTCCATTGCTTTTCCCACCAAAGACCCCATGGAAACTTTTCTCCTTGGGCATGGGATTGGATAAGAAAAACAGGGCTGTCAAATGTGGCAGAAATAGCCCAGCTGCGCTTCCATGGCCCGCAAAGGATAAATTCTTCCCCTTGTCCCACAGATCCCAATGCCTAGGCCAGGTGGGGATTTCTGGAGAAAGAACAGCTAGAACTTGCAAAGAACATACAGGGAGGAGGCTGGACAGTGTACATCTCTGCTCTGTATAGTTTATAGACATTGCTGATGCAGACACTGCTCAGCTGCCAAGCTCTACAGCATATGAAGCAAATGGTTAAAGAACAGCCAATATACAGACAACGCCACTGAAAAGCCATTTCCCAAATTCCATAGTCAGTAAAATGTAAAAAGTGCTTACCTGCATTTCTTGTCTACATATGCAAAAATCAACTTCAATAAAGCTTTGGCAAATGCTTGGGAACCTCAGGCACAGACAGACTGCAGGAAGGATGTAGCTAAAACACCAGGGTAGGAAATGAGTGACCATGGCTTGGATCCAAGCATAGTCACAGGCACCTTCCTTGGCTTGCAATTTCAACTGAACTGTGTTTGCCCCTGAAGAGCTGAGTGAAATCAGAGCAAAGTTTATCAGTTCCTAAATAGGAAAAAATGAGAGATGAGTAGAGCAAATATTTTTAACTTTGTGAATTCATTGGAAATCTGCCTTTTTCCCCTTAAATAGGGGAAATATTATTAAATTCCAGACCCAGCTGTGTGGGACAGCTGGAGCAGCAGCTGTGCTTGCATGGTCACATCACCACATCCCAGGGTCTCATATGGACAGACAGCCCCATCTATGTGCTCAGACTGAAAGGCACACAGCTTGTCTCTCATTTTTTCCTCCTTTCACAAGTGCTTTGGGATGTGACAGGTATCTTTCCCCACCAGAAACACAAGACATGACACCGGAAGACTAAAGTGGTGCACTTTCCCTTCTCCATCAGGGAGCCCATCTCCCGGCCCAGCTTCCTTCATCCCCTCCCTCTTGCTCCCAGCCATGCATTTGTTCCCATTTTCCTCCTGTTCCACTCCCAACTGGAAAAGCACTGATCTCTTTCTTTCCCAAAGGTGATCGCATGACATCCCTCTGGCAACGGCACCAATTAAGTGTTAAGAAAAGTAATGCTAGGAAAAAGTTAATAGATTTTGACTTCTAATGTAATTCAGAGCTGGAAACAACAAAGCAAGACTGAAGGAAGTAGGCTGCCAGCACCCATGAACCAACAGCTTTGTTTGGGAACTGGAGCCACAGGGACAGGCGGGAGAAGGAGGCAGAGTGCTTTGGAAAAGGTGACAGCATTCACAGGAACCGCTCTCTGACTTCCCAGAGAGAGCAGCACTGATCAGTGCCAAAGGAAGAAGCAACTAAAGAGATTTGCATGGACACAGAGGAAAGAGCTGAAAAAATGACATTTTGAGTCTAATCCTTTATGCCAGTAAGCATTTACTGAAAAGAACAGAGAGAGGCCAAAAGACCAAGAAGCCAAACTGGGGATCAGAACTGAGCAGGTCAATCATATCCAAATGTTCCGTGCTCCTGGAGACACTGGTTACATTACTTACAGAAACTGGATACATCATTAACTGACCTAAGATCTCCATGAGCATAAAGGAAGTGCGTTTGGCTCTCCACAATGGCAAGAATACAGCTGGAATTCAGATCCGTAAAAAACGCCAGATCGGAAACACCCTCATAAATACTGCCACCATGAGCTGCAGGAAATGGAAAAGATAGACAATGCTCAGGGCTCAGCACTAGATATTACATCGTACCAGTCAGCAATAAATAATCACAACATTAAGAGTGCCTGGTCCTGGTCATTGAAGTACTGGCAGGTGAAGCAAGATGGGCCTGGGGACTCAATACTGCCAAGGTGCCTTTTTTTTTTTATCAGGTGTCATTAGAAGAAAATGGGGAGAATGTGTTGAACTGCAGGAAAAAAGAGTTTAGTACAGTGCTTTTAATTTTTATCAGAGGACATGGGCACATATACTCAGATCTTCATTAGATGACAACTGCAATGTAACAGCAGTGAATGCCTTCAGTCAGTAACTAGGAGTACTTGTAAAGGCAGGCAAATTCCCATAACTGGATTTTAATATCAGCCAGCTACCGAAAGGTCATAACCATAAGCACAGCATCCCCCATGGGTTGCTGCAGCCCTGAGAATAGTGAGGGACCACATATTCCAGGTGATCTCCTTCTGTCACAGCAAGCTGCTGTGAGTGTAAAGGGTGGGGCGATTTCACGTGAAACACGGCTGCTTTCTGTGACAGACTGCTTCTGTTTCTTGTGCTTCCAGCAGTGAGCTGAAACATCTGAAGTAAAACTCCAAAAACATAGTTGAAACACAGTCTTCTCCTTAACTAATTCTGCCTTGCTTTCTTTGATATGAGAGAGGGAGAGAAGCTGAAGACATTGATTTCTACTTCTAAGCATGTAACCTAGATACATGACAAGGCTAATCCCTGAGCTCTTACTGAGACGAATGAAGTCAGATTTTCTGCTGCATATTTTGAATGAGAAAAGTTGGGATAAATCTCCAAGCTCACCAATGTTTGTATTTAGAAATTTATTAGAGGCCATGCTGACAGTGGAGACATGGCACATAGCAGCAGAACATCAGTATTGAGAGGCATTCCCAGCTATAAAACCTGCCTACCTTTGCCTCCTGAGCCACTGCATGGAGATTGCTGGGATGGGGTTGGCTTCAGGCAAGCTGTCATCTAAAAAGAGAGAGCAGGGAGAACATTGTACAAAAATTCTGTGCTTTTTGCTGCCGAAGATTTTGTTTGTAATTCATTGCATTTTTAGATGGTTCCAGTCTTTACCTCACAACTGTCTGTAAATCCATAGATATGCAATACTAATTCAGATAACATTTTTGGGCAGGAAATTCAGCAATGGAAATACACTATATGCAAAATCAGTATGTGAATATGTAGACAAATAATATTAGCTTTTTACACTGGTACAGCTCAGAAACCATCCCATGTGACAAAATAATTTTTCCTTTTGTTTAATACGTTTTCGAAATCAATTAAAATCACATTTTTACTGTGATTTCAGGCCTGATGTAACTCAGTTCCACAAATTCCTTGCATCAGGAACAACAATTTCTGACATTCTGAAACATCATTACAAACATACACTGAAAACTCATTTGTCATACTGAAGTAGAACAAATGTATGATTGGAAGCAGGACAGACTGTAATGACTTCTGAATATGTCCCACATTTTTACACTCCACGTATTTTGTGTTTGTCAATCTACATTTACAATGCTGGAACTGGAATTTATTAAGGTAAATCAGGAACAAGATGGAGATTCGTATTTCAGATTTGTGAACCATTCTCCCATGTGAAATCAGAATATAAGTATCTCATTGAGGCTGATTATTCCCACCACTGTTTTCTGCAGTTTCCCTGATTTTCCCAACCAGCTGAGAAAATATTTTGCTGTGAAACATCTGGCTGAGGAATGCTGGGAGTTCTGAAACTGCTGGTGCATCCTCTGAAGTAGATAATTTTGAAGCAAAGTAACATAGCTTTGAAAAATTCCAATAGACCGAAAAATGTTTAAAAACGACTCACGAAAGACTATCCAAGATCCTGTAGTTGCTGTCATAGACTTCTCTGAGTACGTTACCCTGGTACACACAGATGTAACTAAGTCTGTGCAGATATTATGGGCAGAAAACTACAAATCCAGCAGAAAAGCAGTGAGGGGATGCACATGAAGGCAAAGGAGTTGTAAAAACAAAGAGTAGTGGAAAATCGAAAGCAAAGAAAATCTGTTCTGTCCAGCTTGCAGTTTTTCTTCCACAAATGTTTCTCAGAGACAGTGAGAATCTCTCCAACTCTGCTGCAATTACTCCAGAAAGAACTTTAAATTGAGAGAAATGCAGAAAAAAGCGATCCCTTAGCCTTGTTGGAGTTTTGATTATTAGATAGATAGATTGACAGACAGATAGATTAATAAATAAGAGAAAACAGAATAAGTTATTGAAGAACAAAGCAAGTTCTGGATGATTTCTTTCATGATAGTTGTGACTGAAATCTTGGCATAGAATTCAGCTCAACACTTGCCCACAAATGGTTACAGCATCATCATTCAGGGACACCACAGTCAACTGAATTTCAGGCATCTTTCTCTGCACAATTAGTTGTACTTGGTTGAATAAGAGTATTTATTCTTTCTTGAACACAACATTATCTTTCAGCTGACTGAAGACTTCTGCCTTTATTCCAGCACCAGTCCCAATAACTGGAAAGACTGATTGCTGCAGCAACTGATCACAAGTAAATGCAGTTGTTGCACAATGGAATGATCAGAGATAAACTCCGAAGTCAGTGAAAAAAGTCAAGAGAGATGTCATGAGAAAACAGTGTAAGAAGAGGTTAAAAAGCAGAGGTTCCTGGGAAAAGGCATCAACATAAATTATGTCACTGTGGAAGAAAGAAGTTAAGTGTTGCAAAGAATTAACTTGGTTAAGCAAGGAATCCTCCATTTATCAATGACATGTTGATACAAGAGCAGCAGGTAGAAACATGGGAAATATTCTATTAAGATTCAAATTTATAAATACGTTCACAGATAAGAGAAAAAGCAAAGATAAACCACTAAGCAGCTGAGATGAGAAGTTCTTGAGACATTACTATTGAGAAAGTAAGCTGCAGAGAGTGAAGTAAACCCTAGTGATAGACAACATGTCACATTTGTGGTAGGAAAAGAATAGGTTAAAACTCTTTTCAAAAGTCTAATGTTTTCAGATTGACCAGTCTTGACATGATGTCATCATAGAGAATTTTAAGGAGCTGGTTGATTAAATCTCCAGTCATTATCAGTTACTTTTGAAAAGTCATGGAAAAAAGTGAGATGTCCAAAACCAACCATAGGGCAGACGTGTCATCTACCTTCAAGGAAATTAAAAATATATATATGAAAAAAGACTTCAAGGAACTACATACATACATACTACTCATTTCTATTTTCTGGAAAAATACTGGAACAGCTAAATGAATAAACGATTGCAATCATGTAAGTGAAAACAAAGTTGAATAATAACCTATGTGGATTAATCAGGAGCAAGCTGTCAAGCCAATCTCATTTATTTGTATGATAGAGTAACAGGTCAGAAAAGGAAATGAGAAAAAATAGATTAATAGGATTTTGACTATTTTACAAACTGTGTTCCAAGCAGACTATGAAAATATAGCTGGAAAACCACGCTCTGAATATGTTTCTGTGCACAAGGCACAAAACTACAGGCAGGCATTGACATGATGAAACCAATAGTTCAATGGATCAATGGTTAAATCTCATCTAGAAAGGTGGCCAAGGGAGAATTTCTAAGGAAAACAGAAGAAAAATTTAAAAATATAGCAGTGCTTTCTCAGAATACTGCATTCAAACAGCTTGTGGCTTAGGGACAGTTTGAGCACAGGATGATCTCTTTATACTCTTTCCTTATGAATTGGTTGGTTGCTTTTTTGAACGAGCATATTTTTCTGGCATCCAGA